TTTGTTGAACACTTTGTGGATCTCAATATATTATATTTCAGCTGCTTGAATCTTAGTTTGTACCTGTATTTAAAGTTTGATGATATTAATGAAGAGGAGGTATCTTCATCCTCTTCTGTCGTTGTATTTATATATTTATCGTGTGTATGTGCAAATAATAAAAACAGAAACATGATGCTTTGCTTATATCTTGTTCTTCAGCAGTCGACACTTTACGATTGTATATTAAATGTGATTAATCTCATTTATTGAACTTATTATTTCAGGTTAAATAAAACAATCCCCCTGCAGTACTCCTCAGTACCTCTAGGGTCCCCCAGAAACACTGCGGGTCCGAGTGCGTCTGACTCTGATTGTTTCCTGACATTAACTGAGTGCAACAGCTCGGACGTCTCCAACCAGGCTGCAATGAAGCGGACGCACTGACTCTGCGCTCCAGACTGTGACACACTTTAATTTGAATACACATCCTCATTAGTCAAATGTTTAATGGGCAGATTAAAGGATCCATATATATAGATCGGTGTCAGAATGTCACTATTTTATTCATGTTTAATTGTATTTGACTATTTCTGAGCTGTGGAAAGTGAATTGAGACGTATTACATTTATCCAGGAAACAGATCAAATCATTTAGTAGTTTCCAATCTGCAGTCAGACGTGTGGTTAAAACCCAGACGGGCACACGAGGACGGGTGCTGTCGGCAAATCTGATTTGAATGCACATCATTTGAATCTTATCAAATGTTCATCCTAATGGACGGATTAATGGCTCACAGCTACAGATGTCAGGGACAGAGGGTCTAAGAATATACATGTGTTGTTTAGGAGTGAATGTGACATGTTTACGATTACGTTGCTAATGCTAACACAAGACTTCCTGCTGCTTTATACAGGACAGCACTTGCTCACATAGTGGTCTGTGTTTATGGAAACTATCTGCAGCCTCAGCAGAGTTTAAATAACAGATCAAATCAAGTGGAACAAATTTTATTTTTTACAGAAAATTCATCTTTAACCCTAAACTAGGACGTTAAAAGAAGAAGTAGAAAGTATAAGTGTTTCTGGACGTACAATTAACAACCAACAAATGTAACATTAATAACAAAAAGTAAATAGCAGAAATTAAAGAGGTCCATTTTTCTGTTTCAGTGTGAGTGAGGGTCTAAAATACAGTTTTCCAGGACAACAGAGATTATTTCCAGGATTTTTGGTTACTTTAATCCATTTCCAGGTGTTTCAATGACTGAACAACTAGTCTCTACATTTACAGATTTACATTAAAAAGTTGATTACATCCAAAATTTTAACTAACAAAGTACATTTTTGAGTTAAAAACATTCTTGATCAAGTATCTGTAGGAACTGTGAGTGACCCTGACTTCATTTAGTCATTTTTATTTGTACAGTGAAAACAAACTTTACTTAATCATGAATGTTCTTTAACTTACAAAATTGACTTTATGTTACTTAAAATGTTTGATTTAATCAGTTTCAGTGTAAGACTACGTTCATTTAGTTTATGAGTAAATATGTCAGCGAGTTATAGAAGAGTGAATGAGTGTCCTGCTGTTGTCTGAAACATGAACCAGTAGAACCAGTAGAACCAGCAGGGCCGGAGCCTTGGAAAATAATAAAGTAATAATCTATTGTAGCCACGTATATAATAAACTCCAGTGAGAGGCAATAAACTCTGCAATCTAAAAATGTTTTGTCTAATTGTGTCATGTGACATAAATCAAACTGTTCCCATTAATCAGCCCGGCCAGAGACGACCACCGGGGGCGATGATGGCGGTGAGGATGTGGTAACGGTTGTTCAGAATATAAAACATGCTTCTGTACAACAGACTAATGCTAAACTCACTGTGCGTGTAACTATTTCCATAAAGTCTTGATACAGATTTTAAAATTCATTCAACATGCAAAAGTTCCCAATGAAACAGCTGCAAAACAACAAAGAACAAAAAACAGTTAGTAAAATATTACAAAATAAAATAACTTAAAATGAAACAACTGATTGTATAAAAATATAAAAAACGAGGACAAAACAAAAAGAATAGATTCAACAGAATGTACATATATAATATATATAGAAAATAAAAAATAGCATTAGTACAATCTGATATATATATAAGTCTCGAAGAAAATTTAGATTTTAAAGACATAATTCCTAAATATTGTTTTTAAATAACAAAAATGTGTAAACTCTACACAAACTGCCTAAATTATATATAAAAGAATCATCAAAATGATTCAAAGAAAACAAAGTTTAGAGAATAAAACATAAAATTATTTTACTAAGACGGTTTAAATCATTCCCAATGAATCCTGGGAATTATTGTAGTTTAGAGAAAGATGCCTGAGCTTCTAAGCAGCGACCAATCACAGCTGAGGTTGATGCCCCGGCCATCAGACAAACTGCTTGGGATTCTGGGTAGTCGGGGTGGGCGTGGTCTGCGGTGGGAGGAGCTTGTGCTTCTCTGACGACTCCGGGGCGACCTCGGCTGCATCATAAAAGAGAACGAACAGGATTTCAACAAGGCGGCAAAACCAGGAGGCAACCTGGCCGGAAACAGGCCTGCAGTTCCTCTAGCGGCCACTAGGGGCTGGTCCACGTCACTGAGACACAGTATAGTACAGAAGTTAGTGGCTTACCCTGTATCTTGGACAGCGCGTACTCCAACCCCTTCATGGCTCTGGCTTGGTTACTTTTAAACCTGGCGAGACCGAACTCCTGGTAAAGAGACACAAACAGTTAAAGTCCAGTTCTGGATTTACGTCTCTAATTCTTCACCAACGGGGAACCGGCTCCGTTCTGGATCAAGAACCCGGTTCGGATCTGATGATGACCTCTGGAAGTCACACAGAATGACATCAGTATGTTTCAGTTATGACTCAAATTCACCTCATCTGGTATCTTTTGCCTTCCCTCCAACTCTCCAGCGCCCCCCAGTGGAGGCCTTGGTGAATAATCTGTAATGTAAATCCTGTCTGAATGTGGTTTTAGACACAGAGGCAATATATAAACCTGTGTGTGTGTGTGTGTTTGTGTGTGTGTGTGTGTGTGTGTTTGTGCACCTGTATGGGCCGGGCCAGGCCGTAGACCCCCGACGAGATGAAGGCCTCCCTCTTCAGTTTGGTCCAAGATGGCCGACTGTGGTCCTCCTCAAACAAACACCGCTCTACCACCGTCTGAGGGACAGACAGCACAACCTGAACACAACAGGGCTGCACACGTTTATTACAAACCCAAATAACTGTACTGGTTCCCGAATCAGTGACATATTTCATATATTATATTAAATAATAACGATGGTCATTAAACATAAAGCTGTGTGTCATCAGCGTAACGACATCTCTCCTAACGGGAGTAGTATGTATAGATTAAAAAGTATATGCCCTAAAATAGATCCTTGGAGAACCCCACAGGTTATTTTGGAGGTTGTTTGAAAGATTATTGTAAATTAAACATGCAGTAATTGGTAAAGTAATTCAGTTACCTTTGAGAAAAGTAACTAATTACTATTTTTCAGTAACTTCAGAAACACTACAGCTGTCATTGGTAAACTGGCTGTTTGCAACAATTAAACTCGGACTGCACAAACGGGGCAGTGGTCACATAAAGCAGGTTGCTTTCAGTCTGAACACACATTTAGAGCACCGCTATCCGACAACAGGTAAGGTACACCTGTAAGGTACACCTGTAACTGACAAGAGCGCTGACCATCAGCTTGTTGTGGTTCAGGTTCCAGGTCTTGGTGGTGAGCGTGTGCGTGTGCGGGTCGACGATGGAGTCCTCCAGGACGTACACGGCTCGGGCCATGTGAGCGGGGAAGACACGATCGGCCCATCCCGGGAGCCGGTTAGTCTTGGTCAGCAGTCGCCGCGACAACAGGTGGTTGCTGGGGGTGACCTCGCGGTACAGGACATCCTCGGTGAGGACGTGGGCGCTGTAAAATATACCGTCACAAATACGGTAGAACTTTATCTACTATTACGGTAAAAGGATACGACAGTTTTATAAATCAAAGACATTGTTTGAACATTTAACACAAACTGATGATAAACGAGTTAAAGTTTCCAACGTTTTGCCTCCGAAGGGGCTCAGAACCAACCATACCTGTACGGGTTCGGGTAGCGCTGCCAGAAGGCGGCCAGCACCTGATGCCACGGACTCTTAATGTCGACCTCGCTGCAGAAATACCTCGCCATATCTACACACACACACACACACACACACAGAGCTCACAGCCGACGCATTCAGGAGCTGTAGGAAAAAGCAACGAGAGAAAAAGAATATGTTACATATTTATTTGTTTATATTTATTTTTAACATAAAAAAAAGGACAAAATAACATTAAAATGAAAATTCCTGCAACCACCGACCGGCGGGTAGAGGTCGCCGCAATGGATTGGGAGACCAACGGGAGATAAAGGAAGGGAATGGGTGAGGATCTGGTTCCAGAGGAGTCGCGGCGGGCAATGTGACTCTTATCGAGAGGATGAGGCGGCAGTTGGAAGTTTTAGACGTGGCGAAGAAGTCGGCCCACTGCTTTGTAAAAGAATGCGGCGATCAATTGGGAGGTTTGTGATCGGGAAAACGGACGCCGAACGCACTCGTGAAGCTTCTCGGTTCAGCGTGGAAATGCCGACGGGATGGCCTTGGTGGTCTCGGCCGGCCTCTGGCGGCACCCCAACATCGGCCGAATCGAGCCGCGGGGGATTAAAGCAGCCGGGTCGGTTCTGCCGGGGCGAGACGGCGAACCGGGTGGGGACTTCCCGCGCATCTTGGTTTAAAGGCGCGGCGGCTTTCTGTTGTAAGACCTGACGGGACTCGCCCTGTTTCAGCAGCGCAGGACGTCCCCCTACCCTCCTTCAGCCACCCGGAGGGGGGGGCAGCGGGGGGCGGAGTTCGGACGAGGCCGGCTCGCCTCCTCCTCGGCTGAAACCTTCGGATGTCTGCTCCTCGGACCCGACCAGCCGTCCTGCGTCCGCAATCAGCCCGAACCGACCTCGCACGGATCCCTCAAACGTCCCTCCTGGTGGTCGGAGAGCGGTTGGGGAGCCAGCGATTCCCCTTCAGCGCTCGCCTGAGGATCGCCCTGCCCGAGCAAGACACTGGTCGGAGGTCACGGACTCGGAGGCTCCTCTGTGAGCCCGGCTTCGTCTCGCAGCGCCTACCGACTGGCCCTCAGAAACCTGCGGTGGTCGTATCCAGCCCCCTCCAGCAGACGCCCGGCTCCTCCAACGCTCTCCACGTCCACGTCCGTCACTGTGTCGACGGCGATGCGGACCGCCGTCCTCCGCCGTCTCCGAACGTCGGATCCTGGTCCAGCGATGTCGGCGGGAAGCTCGCTCGGCATCCTGCGCTTCAAGGCTCCGCCACTCCGCGCAGACTGCAGAGCCAGCGGCAGGAAGGTCGAGAAATCAACGTCTGGACTGGCTTGGCTGAGCCGGACTGCGCCTCCTCCTGCCCCTGCTGCTGCAGCGAGGAGTGCTGCTGCGCTGGTGGTGGTTGGTGTGGTTGGGTGCTTGCTTGTGTTGTTGTTGTTGTCGTCATGACTGCTGTCGCTGTCGAGGTGATGGATCACTTGGAGAGCCTGAGAGACGAGAGACCGAGAGACGAGGAGCCTGACCGTTTGAGAGGAGACGAGAATGAGAGCAGGACGAGAGAGAGAGAGAGAGAGATGAGAGAGAGAAGAGACAGAGAGAAAAGAGAGATGGAGACGAGACAGAGAGAGAGAGAGACAAGACAGGACAGGAAGAGAGGAGAAACAGAGACAGAGAGAGAGAGGAGCAGGAGAGAATAATATAACACCGCATTCTTGATAACTTTGGCAAAAAACATTGTTCCCACTAAGTAAAAGTGCCTAATTCTGTTGGAAATAAATAACATTTTTCGTGAATTAAAAAGAATCAAGGTATAATCAGGAGTCCTTTTTTCTGAAAAATATCGGGGCCAATTCACCAGACAAGGCAATTCTGGCGTAACATAACGCACTGGCGGAAGAAGGGAGGCCTACTGGACAACAAAACCTACATCATTCAAAGCAAGTACCAGAAGGTTCAGGGATTTCTACATAATGCCCAGCGACGAATGACAGGATGGACAGGACACAATCACACGCAAGAAAAACAAAGCATCAGAGAATGATTCTGGACTGATACAGTATTGAACCTCCACAAAGGAGCTTCACCAAGAAGCGAAAACCGAGACGTTGAAGCTCCGTTAGTTCATCCTTCTGTGTGACCGTCGGATTCGTGAGACATGCCAGTGTCAGTTAACCGTGAGAATGCTTGAGCTCATGCTTGAAGTCCTAAGAGAAAATGGTAAAATGCAAAACCTGGAGGCATAGTTTTGAACTGCTGCTGTTCCACAGGACAAGCCGACCGGCAGCGCTCTTCTGGCTCCTGCACCCGCGGTGTCTCCACAAACATACAGCTTCCCACACCACAGCAAGACCAGACCAATGTTGAATGGCAGCAATGGGAACGATGTTCAGTGATCAAGCAGCAGATGGCGCTTCCACTTCAACAACAAGATTGTGATGCACAGTGCACGTGGAGAGCTTCTCAGACGATATGAAGACAAACTGAAGACAGAAAAACAACAAGGCCTGTGCTCAGCTTCAGAAACCAGACCAGAGCAGTACAGGAGCCGTGATCGAGAAGTGCCAATGTTAGCACAGCTAATTGTGCATGGTGGACTTTCTTGAAGCGTGGAAATGAAGAGTATAGTTCTGAGGTACAGTCAGAAACTCCCACAGCTCAACCTGCACACTTGGCATGTACTATACAAAGAAACAGAAGACAGGGCTTTTGCACAAGCATCAGAATCCAAGCGACAAGATGCGTGCTGCCATTTTGGACTCACATGGAACCAGACCTAGACAGACAATCGTTCAATATCCAAAAAAAGTGATAACTGTATCACTTTTGGTCAGATGCCAGCAAGCAACACAAAGGAACCAAGAGAGCTTTTCTCTTCCTTGCAGTGTCCCTCCTACTCCAGGGTTTTCAAAGAGAACAAACCTGGAACTTTCTTCCCCACCTCACATGGACGGAACAGTTAAAGGATGAAAACCTTTCTACTGCGGGGGGGAATGACATTGTGAATATCTCCATGAGACGGTTGGCAGAAGCGCCTCTGCAAGCACTAAGCTCTCTATCATTACTGAAGCTGAACATGCCAGCCATAATTGGATGCACTCCTTTACTCAACCACTAAAACCTGTACCGCCAACAAGGAAACTCCATCACGTCACACCGACACACCGAACGACTCTGAGATCCACTAGCGATCACTGCTCCTGTTTCTGCAGTAGCCACAGATGTGCAAAGTGTTTCAGCCCAACAATAATTCCAGCTGACTGGCCCACCACCCGGCCTACAGGTGGAGGATGGATGTCCCTGTACCAGCTGCAAAAGGGCAAACGGTACCTATTTGAGCAATGTTAGGATGGAGGAAAGCTGGAGCAAGGGAGTGGTCCTGACGGGGACTGTGACAGAATCTATCTGATGATGGTATTCATTGCCAGGAGATTGGCTTAGCGGTTGCATTTCATGACCAGAACTGGTGGTTAGCAAAGTCACGGTGGCACGCTCTCATCAAGATGTGGAAGTGGAGTTTTTCCACCCTCGTGGCCCAACACACGAATTCTATCCAAAAGGAGGGGGAAAGGACATGTGCTTCATTACCGTTTGACGTATTCTGGTCCAACGGTGTGGAACCGTCATCACCAGGTCGTGTAAAAGGGGGCCTCGCCACACCAACCCGATTATCAGCTTGTCGGACGCCGTTCGGACAGGCGAGGTCGGTGGCTCGGAGTCGGTTCGGTGATTGTCCCGTGCGTCGTCAGTCGCTCAAGCGCGGCCTTCATTTTGGCCGATTCAACATGAGAATCGGCCACTGGCCGTCGCCTCAATAACCAATCCATGATTGGGTGGAGTTGCTCGCCCTGACTAGCGAATCAGTGGAGTGCCAGGGGAAAACCGGAAGTGACGATTTGGTAAACATACTACGCCAACGCCATATTCTGTCTATTATTAGCCATCGTATTTCCGTTCAGCGAGTAATGACAGTAACGATCCTTTTATATAATCAACACTCTCTGATGAAACAATGACTGACGACAGCGTGCTCTGGTGTTTACTAGGTCTACACAGATTTAGCCGCCGCCTGCTTTATGGGGAGTATTACGCCTCGTGCCCATGCGCAGAACGTTACGCTCCGTCGGCGTCGTTTGTTTGTTCGGAGGCATTTTTTTGGACGAACTCGACGGAGGACGAGAGCCGACTGATCAGTCCGACCTGCTCTTTCTGCTGACGGTCGGCCTTCGGGTTGGTGGCGGAGCTTAAGCAGGACTAAGATACACAACCTGGGCTGCTGACTGTCATGGAACTTCATAGGAGGAGGAACAACCACAGCATATTACTTACTGGTTAAAGCTACATGAGTGGTGGAGTGATGTAAAGCAGTCAGGGAACACTCACAGGAGTTCACTAATAACTAGTATTATGTTTGTGGCCAGATGTGTTTTGTGGTATTTACACAGAATGCTTCTGTATTTGAAACATTTCAGTTTATGGGAAAAGAGACTGTAAGAGTCATTTATCTGTTCTTCACGTCATATTCAGTTACAGAATCATAATGTATTATTTATAGTAGACATAGACGACATTTAAGATGATGCTCAGGTTTGATGCGATTGTACATTATTCCTGGCTGGTAATTACTTTATTTTTACTATGATGGTATAAGGGTACTTTATTAATGATAAATTAATAATTATTGCTAATTGAACATGTTTCTTATTGAATGTTTGCCATAGTGCCCTCACATGTTATTTGTTATCTGCTTTCTTCACGCCAATATTCAGTTTAACAGAAGAATATAATGGTATATTTTATGAGTAGGGCCCGACACTAGACGACAGATGGGAGGTCAGGTGATGCATTGTACATTATTTCCTGCTGGTAATTACTTTATTTTTACTATCGATGATTTGAATATTTATGATATGGGATGGGGTACTTTTTAATAATGATATTGACTTAATTGTACCTTAATCCTTGAAAAATGTTTGTCACAGTGCTCATGATTGTTATTTTTTGGACCAAATAGGTCCTTAAATAAAGTAATAAGCAAGAAGCCATTGACTTGAGTTGTATACATTTTGGAATTGTATGTTGTAAAGTTCTCTTCTCTCTCTCTCTCTCTCTCTCTCTCCCTCTCTCTCTCTCTCTCTCCCTCTCTCTCCCCAACTGGTCAAGCCAGATGACACCCACCTAGAGCCGAAGGTCTGTCCGAGGTTTCTGCCTGTTAAAAGGCAGTTTTTCCTGCCCTTGTCGCAAAGTGCCTTGCTCATGGTGGTACTGTTGGGTCTCTGTAAATGTTATAAGGGAGTTCGGTTCTAGACCTGCTCTATTGAAAAGTGTCCTGAGATAACTTCGTTATTGAATTTTGGCGCTTAACAAATAAATTGAATTGAATTGAATTGAATTAAGTAATAAAGAGGGGACGGCAGACGAAGAAACAACTTGAGGAGGACGGATTGTTGGCTCACTATAATAAGTATATTATATAAACTATAAATAAATGGTGTTTGTGTTGTTTATGTTGGGGAGAGGAAACGTTCACTTGTTTAGCTCAGGACGGAGCAGTTTGGAGTTTATTTGGGTTTAAATGTTCTATGTACTTTATCTTTATCTACGTTTTCAAAGGTCCCGTCTGCCACTGCCTTCAATTACATAAACTCATCTCTCACCCACGTTTTGATTCATTTAGTCCAGCTGTGGACATTTACTGTGTTATTGATCAGTTTGTTCAGTCGCCCCCCGCTCCGGTTCAATAATTCAATCCAAGCTCAATGAAACAATCCATGACTCAGCAGAACACACCGCTCCCTTTAAAGTCTGAAATAGATGTAAGACATCGAATCGAACGTGAGATTTAGTGTATCGCTACGACCCTAATGTACAGTTAAGTACATTATATGTATATATATTATAATAGATATATTATATTATATAAATATATTCAATATATAATATATGTCCTCAGCTACCTGTGTTGGGTCTTGCGGGTCTCTTCCTGCGGCCGTTTTGCCGTGCAGTTGTCTGCGTGACGTTGATGGTTCCCTCGTAGATGATTCTCCACACTGGCGGACTCCGCGTCGTTCGTCTCTGCACCTCTGCTGCTGTTGAGGAGACGTTTTACACCATTACACCACCACAACAACCAACAACAACAACAACAACAACAAACAACAACGTGTAACATCGGGTACAGAAACAGGAAGGTCTCACCCGTCTCTCTCCTCTCCCTCCTCTCTCTCCCCGGCGGCCGCCTCGGCTCCAGGTGGTCCTTGTCGCTGCTGTCCACGGTGGCGGCTCTTGTACTTCCTCTGCCGCCGGGCTTCTCTCTGGTGGCTGTGGCGCGGCGCGGCGGGGGTCCCCGGTTGGAGCAGCGACGGGGGTGGCGCGCTCTGCGGAGAGCAAGCGGGAGAGGAGGAGGAACGAGGAGGAGGAGGGGAGAGAGCTGGAGCAGTGGGTACCCCAGGGGAGGTCCGACGGGCTGGGATGCAGCCGGCGAGCCCGAGTCCACTGGGGAGAAGGAACGGCGATGGGGCGAGTGGGAGCGGCGCCGCCATCATGGCCGGGGAAGATGGAGCGGTTGGGGTTGTACAGGGACTGCCGGTCTCCTCCCTCCTCCTCCTCCTCCCTCCTTCTCCCTCAGCTCTCTCCCGCCTGCTCTCTCCGCCGCTCGCTCTCCCCAGGAGGCGTCGGCCGGACTGACGAGCACACAGAGTCCCGCCTCCGCCCCGAGCTGCCGACGGCGAGGCGGCGCTCGGCGGCTCGCCGTCGTTTCTCGTCGGGCTCGCCGTCTCTGCGACGTGGAGGGAGGGATTGGTGGGTAGCCGAGGAGAGCGGTGAGGGAGCTCCTCCTCTTCTCCTCCTCGGTGTCGGAGGGAGAGCTGCACCAGCACCGGCGTGCCGCTCTGGCGATCGGCCTTCTTGTAGCGACTATCAGACACTCCTCTCTGGCCTTCCTCATTGGCCGGTCCGGTCGGGCCTGAATAACAGCGAGGCGAGCGGACACGCACGCTCGGCGCTCGAGGCTAGGACGGGCCCGCCGGTCCGTCGTCCCACGCCGCCAGGCTGCAGGTTGCCTCCCGTCTGATCACGTCGTCGTGAGCGCTCGCCGCCCGCCGCTCCTCGTCCTCGCCCTCTGAGATTGGCGATGACGGAGCTGCTGGGTCGGAGGAAGCTGGACGCCGTCCGGCTGCGCGGCTGCGCGGCCGGGCGGCTCGTAGACCGCCTGCATCGTAGTCGTTCCATGGCCAGCGGCGAGCGGGCGAAGCTGGACCAGCTCGTGCAGGAAGGTGTCGGTGCGCCGCCAGCCAGAAACTGCCGCAGCTCTTCTTCTATGGTGGGCGTGCCTCCATCGCCGGTGGGCTGGGGCGAGCCGCGCCACGATTGATGGCGCTGGGACGATGTCGACCAGCGAGGCCCGTGAGCGCCGTACAGCACGGCTGAGCTTCCCGGGCGCCAGGCCAGGGCGGAGCCTGTTCAGGCGTGGACGGGTTCCGCCGGAAAGCTGTCGCTGGTGATGTCACGGGCTTGTGTTGCCCCTGGTGACCGGCGCCGGCGGACGGCGGCGGACCGTGTGGCCGCTCGGTACCAGCGCGCGGCGGAAAGCCACCGTCTCTCTCTCCCTTCAGCCGGCCGCACGGCCCGGCCTTCTCGGCTGCAGCCGTGCTCGGCCCCCAAGCGGAGCATCACGCCCGCCGACGCTCCGTTCGCTAGCAACGGAGGCCGCTGCAGCCCCCTCAATATCACCCGCCTCCACACCCCCCCGTCCTCGGGCCGTCCTCCACGGGAGAGCCGGCGGGGTGATGACGGGGGGAGGAGGGGGGGGGTCGGGAGGTCCACTCCCACACCCCGCCCCCCTCCCCCCGCCCCCTTCTCCCTCCTCTCCTCCTCGTGGTCGCCTCCCCCTCCTCCCGCCCCCTGTGCCTCCTCCAGCATCAGCTCATCTTGCTGGTCGCTGGCTCGCCGCCGACGCATCGCCGCCACCATGGCCGACGGTGGCGGCGGACGCTGCTGTGCCGGCGGCCCGCAGCGTGATCCTTGAAGTGTCTGAGCGCGCCCGAGTGCAGGATGGAGGCGAAGGGCTGTTGCACAGCGGACACTCCGCCTTGCTGTGCGACCACTCCTGGATGCAGCGAAGAGAAGCTGCCGCACGCTCAGAAGCCAGTTTGAAGCGGTCCAGACAGATCGGGCACTTCGAGCGGGCGACGGGCCTCCTCCGCCGCGCCGCCGCAAGCGCAAGCCGTCCGCGCCGGAGGAGGAGGGAGGAGACGAGGCGGCGGAGGACCGGAGGCCTTGCTGTGTTCTTCCTCCTGCTGCTGCGGCGCTCTCCTCCTCTTCCTCCGGCTCCACGTGTGCGGCGCGCCCGGACCGCGGACGCAGCGTCACGCCGCCGCACACGAAGGCTTCATTTTCGCGTGGGCGCCATCACCTGGAACACACAGGAAACAATGTAACACTGACATCACAGGTCAATCATCATCAGCAGGAGGAAGAGGAGTATGTAAACATAAACAGATAAATGTGTTCAGTGTGCAGTGGAAGACTGCAGATGTTACAAGATGTTACAGATGTTACAGAATCACAACCTCTTTAATAAATAATCTCAACAACAAACAATATCATCATTAGTCTCTGTAGCATAACGTGCTAACAGACGTGCTAACATGCTAAGCTACATCACGTTGTCTACTTTGATTTCTCTGTTAGCATTATAGCTTCTTAGCATGTTAGCTTCGTTAGCATTGTTAGCTTTCGTTAGGCATTGTGCATCGTTTAGCATTGTTACCTCTGTTAGCATGTTAGCTTCGTTAGCATTGTTACCTCTGTTAGCATTTTAGCTTCGTTAGCATTGTTAGGCATTGTTAGCTTCGTAGCATTGTTAACATCGTTAGCATTGTTACCTGCTTTCTAGCAGTTGTTAG